TTGCAGGCAGGATGCATGTAGAAAGGGTCTAAGATTTTCCTACTCCTGCTAAGACTAGCCCCCCGTGTTCAGGCGGGGGCAGCTGGATGGCAGCTTGGAAGACCAGAGCCGCCTGTGCCCCCCGAGGGACTGGTGCTCAACCCACCGCCATCCACAGGCCATGAACAGATGTGGGGTACAGCCCAACGGATGGACCAACATGGGATACCACACTCTGAAATTCAATGTTCACAAAAGAGTTAGGGCAATTGTGGGAAACATAAGAAAACAACAAAGAGATTATGGGAAGGAAGAGGACTGTCCAAGTCCGTCAGGACTCATTTAATGGAGCTTAATTTTACTAAAGGCCCTGCAGTGCTTTGATGGGTATAAAAAAAGCCTTCCCAGTCACTGGAGCCTTTGGCTAGTGCAGCAGCCAAGGTCATCAAGGTCTCAAAGGCCATTACAAAGGCCTGAGAAGAACAAAATTAGCATGTAAAAGAAAGATTTAAAATATTGTTCCATCCTACATGGGTCTCCTACACTGCTAGCTCCACAGCCACATGTCAGAAGAAAGCCTGCCCTACACACCCTGAAAGCTGCATAACTTTTTAATTAATCACCGAAACAGGTAGGGGAAGTACCAAACCAAAGTACCACAGTCACTAAAATAAAGTATTTTATGTTAGAGGCGTAGATTCAAAACTGATTTTGATATTAAGGAGGAGTTCACCATTAATGAAATGTCTCGTTGCAAACAGTGGGGAAAAAAGAAAAAGAAGTGTTTGCAACCACAGTGCCAGAGCGCCAAAACCCGGCCATTACTGCCCATCTTCCGTGTGCAAGCAATAACCCGTAGCAGCTCAGAGCCTCATCCCCACAGCACTCACATCCATTTGCCGGATCAATCTGCCGTTCTCACCTTGGGTCAGGTCTTGAGCAGGGGACATGCTCCAAGGGGGTTGGGGCTGGCTCAGGGTTAGGGAGAGCCAAGCCAGGTTACTCTGAGTGCCCTTACACCTGCCTGCACAACTGCCTCAGCACCAGCCCTTCCACAGGTATCTGCCAGTGCTCTGCTACCCAGAGCACTGAAGCATCACTCCCAGAAGGATTGCTGCAGGAGATCGGTATCTATGGAAACCACGTTTCCAAATGCCATTCCATCAACTTCTGCAGCACCCTAATGCAATTCCTGAAAGGATCGTACAGCTCCTAGCGCTGCTGCCCCAAAGCACTCCGCTCCAGGGTAGGTAACATACCTGCTTGGCGAGGCGACGCTGCCGGGAATGGCTGTGCTGCATGCGAGGATGGCATTTGTCTCGTCAGAACTAATATCGGGCATATGGGGAAGTGCAGTAGCCGTGCTGCCTGCCCGGGAGCTGGGAAGCAGCCTCATTTGCAGAGGTGTCCAAGTTGTCAAAACAGCACCTGTGATGACTGGTGCTGGCCCTCTGAGGCCTGGGGGAATGCTATCCAGCGGGCACAAGACGAGCACTGGGTACACAAACCTTTGTGTGTTGCTTTTGCTGATAAAAAACCTCACAACATTCTAGTGGATTCTTCAAGTTGAAATAAGGCAAGGATGGGCTGCTTTATACTTCTAGAGTATGGTTTTCTAGAAACACTTAGTTCTTAAAAAGGCAGGCAAAATTTGCATTATTTTAAATGACCTTCTAGCTGTGGCTAGGATACAAGAAAATGTCATATTTTGACAGAGGAATGAGATGGGGCAACAGATCCGATTTTTATTCTCACTGGATTGTATCTAAACTCTCTGTTTCCTTCTTTTATTTCATTCTAGTTGCAAAATCTATTGCAATAAATATAAGTAGGAATAAGCTAATTCTTTCATGAATAAATACAAATGCAGAAAGTGGATACACTAAACATTAAAATAGTTCCCTTTATAATTTTATTTTCACTGAAAGGTGACTTAAAAAAGGTAAGAGGTATACAATGAGTTTCCTATGTAATAAAAATTCAGCATCAAATTTGGGTTGGCAGGATGTACTTGATTTCAGTGAAAACAGTTCTTTACATCATGTACTGTGGTGAAGTGCACCCAAATGCCCAGGTCATACTGAACAGTCTCAAAAGTTTCTACAAAATCAACATACCTTCCTTGAGGATGATCAGTTTGCATGTACAACTATACCCCCTGCCCCAATGCTTACTTATTTTTAGAAGCTGTGGCTACAGAATTCAATATGAGAAGTGCTCAGTAATACTATTATAAGCACGGCTAACACAGCCTGAGACTTTGCAGACTACATGAACGCAAAATCACCGAAGCAGGAGGGTTATACAGGCCCACTTACTAAAGATCAAGAGAAGTGCTAGAACTGACCCGTCAGGTCTGCACAGTTAGAAATTTCAAACTCAGGTTAGGCAAATGTCATGACAGGAGTTAATCATCACCTCTGTGCAAGCACCCTAGCTTTTTCAGAATATGTATAAGGGACTGCAAGCAGTCTGGTAAAAGGGGGGATGACTATTACAGTGTAGTACATGGATGCTCGTTCTTAGTGCAAAGGAACAACCTACCCAGGGAAGTGGGTGGCAACAGCACATTAATAAACACGTGCATTTAAGTCAATGAGATGACAGCTGGTTTGGAGCTGTAAAGCATCGCAGCACCCTGCCCATCTCTACTTTCTATACTTCAAATAATTACTTGTGTAAACCTTTAACTCAAGGACTATGATTTCCTACGCAGAATACAGAGTGCACTGATTTCTAGCAATTTCTACCTAATTGGCTGTTGACCTCTGTTCACTACACACTTTTTACTGCAACATATATGAACGTCTCCACAAGCCCAGAAATTTCCTCTGTGTTCTGCAGAGTGTAATGGACACAGATAAAAGGTTATGTCCACTGTCTTTCTATAATATATTCTACAATAGCCATTTAGTGGACATTTATCAAGAGCCTGTATGTAATGCCCACATGCACTCTTTTAGGCACTAACGTTACATACATTTTTGTATTTATGGCATTGATTAAAGCTCGAATCATCATCACAATGTCTTGCTAAAATCCACTAAATATCTCCTAACAGCCAGTCTAAAACCTTACAAAAGGATTTCCACAACTTGCCTGGGTGAGGGGAGCAACAGACAGGGGAAAGGCAGACAGGAACTCCTTCCCTGGACTAATCCACACAACAAACAGATAATGAGGGATCACATCTTACCTGGGGGGTTCTGGAGGAGCTTGGGCTGCTAGCAGCTGAAGACACCATGCTCACGTTAGGGTTCATACTTCTTTCTCTCTCGTCCTGATAGATACGATCCCGCTCCGAGTCAGGCAAGTTGAGGAAATTCTGCATTGCCCTTAAGTTTACCAGGAGGGACTGCGAAGCTGTCCTAGGGTCTTCTTCTTTACGCAGGATCTCTGACAACAAGCCCTGGTTCAAAAAATTAAAAAAAAAAAAAAAAAGCCCAGTCATGTGTTGTTTTTTGGTTGGTTTTGGTTTGGGTTTTTGTTTGTTGTTTTTTTTTTTTTAATTTGTTCAGTGTAACCAGCTGGGTTGCAATACTGAGAACCTACATCAGAATCTCATGGGCTCTCCCAGAGGGGATATTTTGTAGGAAAGTGTTTGTCTTTCCTACAGGGGAAAGACAGGGGCTGGGGTTTATTTTGATACTGTCCTATTCTGGCACTGTAATAAGCTTCTCAGTATGGAGATGCTGGAGAGGAAGATAGGTGCACTGGGTAGAAGAAATTGCAATTACCACCAGGTGCTTGCTGCAAATATTTTAGGAGCTGTTAGATCTCTATCTCTCTCTCTCTGTTTTTACTTGAAGCTGGGAACGCTTGGCAATCCTGTTCATCTTTGACAAATCTGCCAAGGTTGGTAAATTTAGTTTCGACATTTAAACAGTGCAGGAGGTTTATAAAGAAAAACGTTTGGCTGGTTTTTGATGTTACAGTCCATTCATTTTGGTTTGGGCAGACATTTCTGAAAGGAGAAAAATGGAGCAGTAATAAAGCCTTAGAATCTAGCTTTAGGGATTTAACCCATTCTTTCATACCTCATTTTAAAATACCACAGGCTTAACACTGCAACCATGACTGAACACCATATTCATCCAGTTTTTACAAAAGCCATTATTCCAGGATGTAACCAGCACAGCAGAAAAAGAAAAAAAAAAAAAAAAAAAAAAAAAAGAGTTTGAGAGTTGAAAATGCCATTTAAAAGCTTAAATCTAATGATGGGATTAAATTTATGCTTAACTGTATGCACTCAACAGTTCCACAGATTACCTAGAAGTTATGGGCACAACACACAAGCCTGGATCAGGGCCTACAGAAATGATTGGGACACAGCTTGTGCCACCAGCTTGCCCCAGGCACTCCCTCGCATCCGACACTTCACAAAGGGGTATTTCACCCCAAAAAAGCAGTAACAGTAATTTCCTGAACTACAGATGTTTAAATGTACTGGTGTGCAAAGAAGCAGAGAGTGATCACTTCTGCCCATCAAGATTGCCTATAACATGTTGTAAGAAATGGTGGCCGGAGTCTCATTATTTCAAAAGGCTATTCTGCCAAGATGTTTCCCTCAGCAGCCGGGTACCCTTTCCGCTTCCTGCCTGCCACGACCCAGAGGCTCTCTGTATCACTGCTCCCAGGAACACCAGCCACAGAAGCCATGTGAAATTCCAGTTGGAGCTTGGAGGGCTCACCTCGACATACTGCTATGACAGGAGCAACGTTCAGCAAGCCCGTGCAAAGGGACACTGCAGTGCCCCAGAAGCGAATTAGCTGTTGACATAAGCATTTTGCAGTTACTTTACAGCCACAACCAAGGAAAGCTGTCTCATGGGTACAGTCAAGGCTTACTCCTTTCTGTAAGAAAAATGTTACTAGAAAACAACCACGTAGTCAAAACCCTGTAATATTTAGTCTTAGTTTATTTTCTCCTGTATCAGAGAGTCTCCTCCAAAAAGCCCTGCTAAAACACTGCCACTACAGTTGGCCAATTAACCAAATGTCAACATTTTTAGTATATATTGATCTTATTTACCGGACTTCCGGAAAAAAACAACAGACCAGCAAACAACACATCTGTACCTGCACTTATCTGCCATCTGCTATTAAGCACCTACATTAGAACACATACATGAAAGCTGTACTTCAGCAGTGTTTATGCCAAAAGTGCTCAAAACAAGCTCCACACACAACCTGAAGGTAGGCTGCACACAGCTCCATCTTTTCAGCTCATCTACATAATCAAGCTAAGAGATTCCCAATTACATTTTCCTGCAATTATCAGAGTAGTTACCAGAAGGACTGGAGCTGGGAATAGAGCCACGGTAGGACCCTCCAGTCAGAAATGGGATTAGAGAGAGAAGTTGGCTAGTGAAAAGGCTCTTCACTGGGAAAAAGTTTGAAGAAGGTGTGGTGCTGCGCTGGCCTCTGGTATTCTCTGTGACCTCAACACAACTGCATGCTCATACTTGGTTTCTTCCTCAGCATTTACCACCCCTCAGAGAAGATAAGACATTTTGAAAAGGTTTCCAAAGTTTGCCAGGCTCACAGGCTGAGAGAGATTAACCAAGAATGGACATCACAGAAGCATGAAGCCATGACTTGAATGATTCCAAGATTGATACAGCAAGTCCCTATTATAATTTTCCCTTAAAAGTTAGTGGAAAATTCTCCAAACGCAGTAAATAAATGAAATATCAGTTCCACTGATTCTCTAAATTCTTAATTTCCTGCATCTTTTAAGGGACACATAACTTCTTTTTTTAAAGAAAAGATCCAACTTCAAAAATTAATGAGTTTAGGCTGAAAGAGGGGTACCTGAAAGCTACTGGAACTAACTCTAAGACAGCTTTTTCTCCCTTCCATCTTAGCCTGGCAAAATTTATGGTCCAATTTCAAAAATGGAGAGCAGAAACATATGTGAAAGCAGGCCAGCAATTACTTTTCAGTGCAGTCATTGACTCCCTATGTAAATCAGAGGCTCACAGGTGCAAGCGGCTTGGTCATGGCACTAAGAGGTATCTCACTGCCAGAGATACCAACTCTTGTGTTTGGAGGCTCTGATTCATCACCAGAGCCAGCTTATCATGGGGTAGATGCTGTGGTTTTGAACCCCAGCCTGCGCCTCTCGCTTCTGCGAGGGTCTCATCTCTGCTACAGGGACGTAGCAATATTTTGCATCACTGCTCAATCACCAGGCCATACAGCTGCCAGGAGCCTCACCTCCTAATGCAGGCATCTGCTCCAGGGAGAGGGACTAGCTCCTTTTCCCAGCACCACGACAGAGGCAGCCCCTCGCAGGGCCCGAGCCCTGCTTCCCCATGCCCTGCTTCAGGCCCGTAGGTAGAAAACCTGGTGGCAAAGAGTGTTTTTCTGCAGCTCCTCCAAGTGCTTCGGCAGCTTAGAAACCATGTAAACAGCAGGACAGATAATGAGAAAACTGACTCAGAGGGAAAAATCTCATGTCCTCCTGCAACTGAAGATAAACAATGCTGGTAAACAACAGTGGCTAGATAGCTGAGTGATAGCGTAGGACAATAAAATAAAGTATCTTGAGAGCAATAACATTTAAAGTAATATAATTCTGAGCTACTGAAATATACACAAACTAACCAGTGAGCAACATTATAAAAAATACAGTGATATTAAATAATCTGTTCAGCCTTTTTGTCACCTGCAACAAATTAGGCTTTCAATATGCAAAACATCTTCCTTCCAGAAAAACAAATGATCATGATTTCATTTAATTGTAATTTAATGAGGCATAATGTATTTTTTAAAGTGATATACACCAGGTGTGTGGTGAGGAAACTGGCCCAGCCAGACAAACCCTACTGTTTCTATTTTTGAGAAAACCCTAAAGCCAGCCAGGGACTGTTTTCATTTCTACAAATTATGTTTCTGCTGGAGGGGGTGAGGGAGGGAAACCCACAGCATTCGTACATTTGTTATAAAATTCCATTGGCTAAATTACCTCATTCCGATTTACTTACATCTCACATATTAAAAAAAAAAAAAAAAAAAATAAAATTGGCAGTTTGCAGAGTAACCAACTCTGCAAACCTAGAAGAAGATCTTCAGGGACTAGAAAGTCTCAAACTGATTTTAAATAGCCAAAAAGATCTTCTATACCAAACACAGCTCTCAGGATACATTTTAGGACATGTAGGTTGATAATATCTTTGCTTTTCCACTCTTGTGCGTCATTTTTAAACCAGTTGCCAAAGAGGCAACCAATGAAAAGTTTAATGTTCACACAGGCTATGCTCATGAACAAGGTGTGTGATCACCCTGGGACAAGGACTCTGCACAGGCACAGTTTGGTTTACCCTTGGAGCTCGCACCGTTTTTAAATTCACCCACTGGATCCATAGTTGACTTTAAAAAATAATACCAGCAGTGGAGAAAAGAGCACGTCCAATCCAAATAAAAAAAGTTGTTGGAGCTATTTAAGGTACAAGTAATTTTGACAGTATTTTTTTCAAACTAGCTGAAATGTGGTCCTTCAAATCAGCAAAGTCACTGTAATGGGTTTACACTCATTCTATGCAACCCTGTTTGTGAACTCATTTCTTACATTTTCATGAACTACAGCATTTCCAGGACAAACAAACCAAACCTCATGGGCAAGAAATCTTTTTTTAAGCAACTTCTTAAAGATGATACAGTACAATGTAGTGCAAATGTTATTCAGACTGGCCCCTACATCCAAAGGACCAACTGACCAGCCTTCGAGGCCAATGCAAAGGCTTGACCAAAGCCCACAGAAGGCAAGCAAAGCCTTCCTGCCTTCTTTCCAAAGGACTTTGGCTCAGGCCTGGAAAGGGTATAAATGGGACCTCAGTGAGACAGCAGACTGCACTACCAGTGACCGAACACAGGACAGTTTTGCAACCAGAGCTTTTCAAAAGCAATGTGGATGGGCGTGAGGAGGTCATGCTGGAGTGCAGACTAGACACTGATGTCCTGGGGACCGAGGAGGATGAGGGCCACCAGGCAGCAGGAGACTTGCAAGCACTAGCCAGGACCTCAGGCATGTCAGGTTCAATGACTTGGGAGCTGTGCTCCCCCTTGTACAGACCTCAGCAATGTGTCTACAAGAGCAGGTACTAAGGTTAAAAAGGTTCAGAACAGGCTTTGGACAATCAAAACCCTGACCAAGGCAAAAACTTAAATAAACCCAACTAATGTGCTAAACCTCAGTTTTTGTGCTCTGTATGAGGAGATTATATACATAAAGGCCTAAAAAGGCATAAACACTTTTTTCATACTTTCAGTTTATTTGTGCCTCTCCATACTTCAGCTATTGCCAAAAGCAACAGAGAAAACACTGAAATACTAGAAAAATATTGCTCCTGTTGTACTTAAAGCTCCAAGTACTTTAAGCCCAGTACTCATCACTGACAGTCTCAA